GGTTCCGAACACGGCTCAGTAAGGTAAAGGGTTTTGGCGTGCCTTAACCTTACATTACTGTGCAGAAGTGCAGCTATAGAATCTGCACAGTAATGCAATATCCCCCCTAACTTTTTACTGTGGTAACGAACACGCCCTAAATTTACGCGTCGGGGCCGACCACGGCGCACAGGTTGTCCCCCCTCAGGTTCACGGATGTGACTTCACTGACCTCCGTCTCTCCCTCGAAGACTTTGATAGTACCGTGCCCATCTAAGCCCAAGTCCAAATCCGCCCATCTTGTTGTAAGATCAACAATGTAGACACAGGTACATCTGCAGATCACCTGCAAGCTGCAACCTTGCTATTACACATTCCCACTTCATTCCCTGCAACCTCCCGCTCATTGCAGCGCCGCCATGTCCTTGTCGCCCAGCGAATTCACTCTGAACGGCCAATCTCTTGGTGGCGCAAAGCCACAATGGTAGAAACTTCGTCGCCAGTATAGTTGGCGACAGCGGCGTTCATAGCTAGCTGTTGTTGTTTATCAACGGACAGCGCGGCGAGATGGCGATCAATCAGGACCTAGTCGAGCCTAGCGTTCCCACACTCAATCGCCTGTGCAGTCTTGGCAAGAGGTGTGTGTGCGCGCACACACACACACCGCATTTGACAAATCTGGCCATTTGACATCGCTTTACACGACTCAACTCGATCGTTTAATATTGAAATCTAACTAAAACTGGTGTAAAAAGTCGATATTTTAATGTTCTACGTCGTGCAGTTGTTTATTTTAATATTTATATTGTCTTTTAAACTATTGTTAATATAGTATACTACCCTAATACTTATTAGAAGGTATTAATAATAATAATATTAGTAAATAACGAGTATCCTAACGATGTTATTAAAATTGTTGGTATAAGTATAAGGAGTATATAGAAATATAAATATATTCTATTAAATATTAATAAGGTATTTTTATTATTGCGAACTTCCTAGAATATTAGAAAGCTTCCTATATGGGCGCTTAAGGTACGGCGTATATTATATTGCTCCTTATATTTTATTAATTGTAATTAATATTATATAGGAAATTATAAACTTCCTTATATTGAAATCCGATTTATATTTTAATAAGATTTGTACCTTTTTAGCTAATAAATATAATATATATATTTTAATCGAAATTGTACGGCGGTACCTTTAATAGGAGAAGTAGAAGAAGAAGCGATTCTATATAAAGGTATTATAATAATCCCCTATATTAGTAGCCGAATAGATATTAAAAATCTCTTTATTTATTATAGAAATATTTGTATTTTATAATAAATTTAGTATAAATTGAAGGGACGGTATTCGTTGTATTAATTAGGTATTCTATAGTACTATTACAATAGTATTAAGTAAATTCGTATGCGGTACGCGGTATTATTTCTTCCTAACTATTATAGTAGATAGGTTATTTAATATATTGGTATTTAGAGGTGTAACGGATTCGGCCGGGGTTTAGGATTAGATAGTAAAATATTTACTCCTTAAAATAAATCTATTTCCCGATTATAATAGTATTTTAGTAATAAATAACGTTAGTTAATACCCCCGTACTAAACTCTAATATACGTATAATTAGAAGGGGGTTCTATTGTGGTATTTGCTACTGTACTTTCCCGAATTTAATTCTATTGAGGTATATTTTAATAATTTTAAACGGTAATTTAAGAGGGTATATTGTAACGAGGGTAGTAATAAAATATTAGATAATAATTTTGTTGTATTTCTTAAGTAATTAGTATAGGATGTGGGGTATAAAGTATAATAGATCTATAATTATTTTAAAAATATAAAATTAGTAATAAATTAATTTAATAATATTAATAAAGAGTATAGTAAATTATATATTAACGAGTTAGTCGAATATAGAGAAATAGGTATTATATTTAAACGGTAGTAGAGAATATAGAAGGGAGAGATAGATTTATATATGTTAAATTGAATTGTATATTAAAAATGTTAGAAATGTTAGAAATGCTAAAAGTGTTAGAAGTATTAGAAATTGTATTTATTTATATAATAATACTAAAATATTAAAAACCCCCCTCTTTCGCTATAAATCGATTTATAATATCGTTATTATTCGCTAGGACCATTAGTAGTAGTACTGTCTGCTATAGAAGCGAAAATTCTAATAATACTATATTTAAATATAATATTAAATTACGGGTTTAAAATATATATTAGTTAATTAAATTATAGTAATAGGGATTAGAGGGTATATTTATTATAATTTAACTATATTATTAGTACTGTGTGTTTAGTTTTAAGGAAGTTTTTAATACTGTCTTTAAATACTATATAAAGGTTATAATTGAACCCTAGTTTTATAAATTATTTTATTAGCTACTCTTTGAGTATAAGTATGTTAGGCGGCGCCTTCTTATTCCGGAATTTATTCTTTAAAGTAATTAGAATTCTATATACTAGTACTATTTTAATTAATAATCTAATATAATAATATTTATAGAATGCTTTAAAGAATTTAGTAATAATCTCTTTAGCCGGCCGACCAGGCGGAGCGGGGGGTAATAGTAATAAATAAAAATTAAAAATCGAGGATATAGGCGGATATAGTATAGAGAATTCTCTAGCTTCTATTAGGGAGTTTCTAGTCTCTTTACTTTTATCCTTCTTACTTACTATTAATAGCAGTACAATTAATAGCGGTATTGGTAGTTAAGTAGAGATTGTAATTATTATAAAGATAGGAGGAGGGTTAGCGTTAGTATTAATACGTTTAGTAACGAGAGTCTTACGGTCGGTCGGGTACCTATAAAATATAATAGTAAAATATTCTAACGGTGTATACGAGTTGATAGTTACTACTTTGCCCGGTAGGGGGAGAGTGCCTGCTATATTGTAATTATAGCCGCTAGCGATTGTTGAGTTAGTAATAGAGCCGCCGGCGGTATAAGGTAATTAAATTTAGGGATATTAAAAGTAGGGAGGGAAGTATTAGTATAGTAGTGGGTATAGCGGGTATAGGGGAGGAGGGTATGGCTGGTATAGACCTTTAAAATTGTCCTTCCTTAGCGTAGTTTATAGTAGACTATTTATAGTCTTTATATTAGTACTACTATTATTATTATTGATATTATTAATAATATTAATATTAATTAATAAATTATTACTTCCTCCCTTACATTTACTATTACTATTACTAGTATTAGAGGCGGCTACTACCTTATTACTTAGTATATTTCGTACTAGTTTAAATAGTAGGTTAGTTACTATAGCCTTCTCTAATAATATAGTACGTGCCTATTTACTTATATTTTTAATATTAAAGTTATAATAGGTTATATTCTTATTTATAATATAGTATATTTAGTATTTAATAACTTTATTGTAATTTTTATACTTATAATTAAAACTATACGCCTATACCTGTACTAGCTCTTAATATACAGTATTACATAGTTTTACCCTTATGCGCTCCTTTTACTACCGGTCCTCCTTTAAATTCTTCTCGATTTCTATTAGTATAGTATTTATTATAATATATTTAAACTTTTCGGTGCCAGTTAGAGTTTATAACCTTTATAATAATAGTATATCGACTGTTCGTAGAGTTGGAGTAACGAAAGGATTAATTAAACTACGAGAGGGGGTAGGAGTAGAGGGTATACTACTATGGAAGGATGGGATAGCGGGGATTTTATTGGCGGGCGGGTCGGTTAATTAAAATTTGAATAATATAGTAAAATAGTAGTGTTAATTAGTATAGTAGAAGTACAACTTTATAACAATTTTATATTTAATATTATTATACTTATTATAAAAATCTTTCTTAAGAATAGTCTTATTATATATAATAACCCGGGTGCGGCGGTTATTATAAGTAGCAGTAATATATATAATATTATATAAAAAAACTAATTACTTTATCCCTACGGCTATATTGTCGCTAATAATATCTTTTATATAATTTTACTATATATATAGGATTTTATTAAATAGTATCGTTCTAAACTACTATTTATAAAGTTTACTATTATTTTACTTAATTTTAACTTCTCTAAATAAATTACATTTTTTAATAGCGGGTAATTTAGTGCGGCTGGCGGTAATATATAAATTAATTATATTAAATTAGACTTATATTAAATTAAGGTATTTAGAATATAGCGGTAGTAGTACTATAGCGACCGGCTTACGGGCGGCGCGGGGTTAGGCCGGTAGCACTAAAGTAATTAATTTAATCGGGAAGGCTATTTCGCCGTTATTGTTACTTAATAAATAAAATAAGGTATTAAGAATTTACTTCTTAGGGGTAAGGCGGACGGAGAATTATTATTCGATTTCGTTATTGTTGCTAGTATCCTTTTTACTATTAGAAATTTTAATAAGTATTACGGGTTTAAAGGGGGACGATAACGGCTTTAAGATTGGGATTAGGATTAGCTCTAGCGTAGTAGCCTTCCCCTTTTTAATAATAATTTTAATAGCGGTTTTTTTAATAGCGGTTTTAACAATAGTCTTAATAGTAATTTTAATAGGAATAACCTTCTTCTTAAGTAGAATAATTTTGGGGATAAGTTTAATAGACTATTTGGCTTTACGACTCTTCTTTCTAGGGCGGGAGGAGGCGTATTATAGAATTATTAAATTAGGATCTTCCTAGTCTTAATCTTCATCGAAGTAGACTATTAGCGCGCTACTTCGAATATAGGATCGTTTTACGCCCGCGGGTTTTAAATTAAGGATTGTTTTGGGAGGTATTATTACAATAGATTTAATTAATTACTAGTATTATAATTACTTTGCACGTTGAAATAGCTTTAAATTGATGTAGAAATTATTATAAAATAATGAATTTTAACGAAGTTGTGCAATACAGAAGTGCGGTGTGTGTGTGTGTGTGTGCGCGCACACACACCTCTTGCCAAGACTGCACAGGCGATTGAGTGTGGGAACGGTTACTGCGTCGCTGAAGAGTTGTAGGCCGATTACACTTTCCACGCCGGAACAGCCCTGATGCAGTATACTCGTGCCAGCCAGGACAAGAAAGATTCGTCACAAAGTCCCTCGGATGCATCCGAGACATGCGCTGTTCCTCAAGGACAGCAAGCGCCTCATCTCGGTGTTGTATTCAACCATCCCGGATTCCAACATCCAAGTGACTTCTTCGCGGCCTTGGTCTCCTTTTTCCATGCGCGCCATCCCTTCCCGATTTATGAAGGTCAATATTAACGAGGATACAGACCGGACATCCTTCTATTCCGCACGGTGTCGATGTTCCTTGTTTACCAGGCGCGCCGAGGTACCACGCTATGGTGGTGAGTTCCTTCAGAGTAAGATGGCGTTCGGCAGGGTACTGTTTGAGACGATCACGCCAGACAGTGGGCAGGGTGCGAGGGCGTGGAAAAACGAGGAAGGTTTGGAGGGCGAAGTCCTTGGGGTCAGGGGTAGGATGGGGGAGGAGGGCGAGTAGGTACCTATCCACAGGGAGTGAATTCCTATGGCGGGAATGACGGACATGAGCCAATAACGCCATTGCACATCATGGCACTGACAGCAATGGCAGCGACGGTGGAAAGAAACTTAATGGTTGTGACTTTGGAAGAAATGGAATTGGGACGGTGTATACGAAGGTATGACTGAGCTGTGTGTGTGCTTGGTGGTTGACATGAACGTGAAAAGAGAAAGTGGGTTGAAAGGGGAAAAAGTTGTTACAGTTGAATGTAGGGTGGTTCCTAGGTACACTTGAAGTTCGTTTCTGAAACCCGCTTTACTGTACATGATTAAACTGGGAACGGTGCAGGAGAGAAGACAGAAAGTCATAATGCATTGCTTCTGAGTTCATGCTCACCCACTCCTCCAGCCATTTCTACAGCATGCCCGCCCCCGCATCCATGCCGGACATCCCGATCATTGAACAAGCCGAACAACCAAACTATTTGCCCCGAAGTTTCTGACCAATTCCTACGATAGCCTTATTCGTTTTGCCATAGACGCGTAGCCAGTAAAGTCTGAGCGCGGTAGTAACAACCATAAGAGTCCAACGATCACCCATTACTCCTGAACAAGCAGCCCCCTTCAACTCCAATGTGAATAAGTGATTCACGGAAATCGCATTGCGAAACGTAAGATCAGCAAGTATATCGCTCTCCTCTTGTGCCGATGAAGATGATGATGAAGGTGAAGAAGAAGAAGAAGGAGACGGTGAGGGAAATGACGTGGAAGATGAGGATGGGAGGCGAGTGAGAATGTACCGGGTGTTCTGTTGGGTGTTGGTTTCGCCCTTCCGGGTCTTCCTCCATTCGAATTCCTCCCGGATTTTCATCTTAGGGCCGACCTCGACCGAGAAGCGGAACGAGACACTACCGTCGCTGGTCTTTGTAGCGTACATAATCTCGGTGACCAAGTCACGAGGGTTCAAGTTGAACTCGACGTCGTCTTCGTCTAACGGTGGCGGCACCATAATGAGACTTTTCACGCTAAAGGTTGACATCAGAAGGGGTTCTCGCTCTTCGTCGCCGGCGGCCGCCAGGATTGGGGCCTCGGTTCCCGTCCCGTTCCGCAGGTAGAAGCCCGGCCTGAAGTTGAGCGGTCCTCTAGGGGTAAAGCCATGGTGTACCTCGACAACGTATAAGAAATCGTTCTTATCCGCACCGCACAGCTTATATGTAGTCAGTGCGCCAATGACGCCCCCAGAGGAATTGCCGTAGAGGTTCATGACTGGAGGAAACGGGCGATATCCCAGAAATTTTGCTGCTGTAGGCATCCTGCAGGTGCTCGAGAATGTCTTACGGACGACGTCGTCGTCGCCGTCGTCTAGCGACGTTTTGCTCTTGGTGCTCATGGCGAACGCGGATCGCAAACGGTTACTGACTGTGGAATGGGAGGTTTGGTGCAGGAGAAGCGAGCAACAATGCTGAAGGTCGCCCCGTGCTGGTTTTGTGGCCGAAGGCAGTCAAAAGGGTCACGCGGCAGCATGTTGAAGAGAACCCATTGCCGCTGCAACTATAAACCAACAGCCGATGCTGACATCAGGTCATCGGCAAATTGACCTACCCAAATAGGTATCCCTGCAACGGCCTGGAGCCAACGATGCCATGACGGGAAGCAGTCGAACCACACCACGAGAAAAGACGGTCTGTTAAAGTTGTATGTACGACCAACAGAGTCGGATTGCCTTCAGTCGAAGCTACCTAGAGGTAATTGCCTATCCGAGCGGCTAGGTACCTCTACATGTACACTACCTAGGTACTCTCTCAGACTACTACGGCACAAATCTTTGATTTCAAAAACCTAGAGCTGCATAGACGCAGGGATACTGCCACGCCGGAGTGAGACAAAAAAATATGCTCGCTACCCATATGTAACCGATCATTCGCGACATAGCCTGTGTAACGTGACCCGAGGATTTGGCTCGCCCGGCCAGATTCAGCCTCCTTTCCAGGGTAGTCTCTGCCCAGCATACGACGTAATTTGAAAGGAAAAAGCGAAACTCGTGCACTACATTGGATCTGTGTGTTAGAACCCAGTTCGATGCTGTGTGGCAGACTGCGGACATGACAAACATCCACAGCGCGCGAGACTCTCCGGAAATAATGCCATGTCTCAACAACTGTCGTTTTTGTTGTTCTAGCGTTGTCTGTGGTGCGCGGCTGTCAATTTCCTGAGGTGGCTAAGGTCAAGTTGTTGCCTCGCAGTCAGTCATCAGCATGCCGGTAAAAGGGAAAGACTGTACTCCTTACTTTGACGCGAATGACTATGGCCGCAAGGTAAGTTTCAAATATGGTGACGTGAAGCCGATGCCAAAACCGACCCCAGAATCGTCGGAGGGTGTACGCTTCGGTGATGTTGCCGAAGAGCGCGGGCCACTCGTCTGGCCGATCCCATTGCATAACTGACACGAACACCGCCGCGAGAAGATTGTGCGCGACAGTGAGCAGAATGTATGTGTCCCAGACCCACTGATAAGACATCAGGAGCCTCAAGATCAGGTCTCGCTTGGTGAGTGGAGGCAGAAGGCCCTGGTTGTCCGGGCCGAAATCCCAGCGACTCAGGTGAAGACCATACAGGGTTTTGGTGGTGAAAGAGGCTATGAGATGACGGATGGCCAACAACGCTATGGCGCGTCCACATCGAAGAAGAGCAAATCTAACCCGACCTGGATGGCCAGGATTCGGGCTGTCAGTACACGTATCATCCGACAGGCACAGTCCGCGAGGATTAGCCCAGATACGGAGGACGGCACGCGATCGCTGGGCGAAGGATGTAGAACTTGGGAGCTTGAGGATCTTCTTTTCCAAGAGAAGAACAGATGCTGTGTGGAGCGTGCCAATGATGGCCCATGGAACGAAAAGATGGTTGAATGGAACGAAGGAAACACTTCCCAATTGGAGGGCAACAACGACGCCGCCGATGTGCAAAATCGACAAGACAAGCCGAGTGACATCGAACTGTCGCTGTACAGCCACGTAGAATAGGATGGAGGTAAACCAAAGCATGAGTAACGGACAGGAAGCATATGCTCCTGTAATTAACCAGACTGGCGGGCGGAGGGCAGGAACGACGGGCATCTTGGTTTGCTGGTCGGTCAGAAACGTAGGGTTGACTCTGGGAGGCTGTTTTACTGAACCACCTTCACCAACGATAGGAAGCTCTTATAGGTCTCTAGGATGTGAAAATTGTCCGTCCAACTCAGTCTCAGGATCTTCCCCTCCGAGTCGAGAAATTACCTCTACCACAGTGTGCAGAAAAAGAAAAACATTCTCGACAGGAAGAAGTCAATATTACCTCTCACTAACTTGAGCTACGTGTGAACTAATCAAATAGGCCTCTGTCTAGACTGTATCGTCTGCGGCGGCGCGGATACCCCGGGGAACCGGCCGAGTGTTACGTTGTCATGCATCCCTTGAGCCTCCAGGGACTTGTACGCAGTACAGTACTTACAGGTAGTGACTCGTCCATGCAGCCAAGCAGCGCTGGCAAGCAAACTCTCAACGTACCTCTATATTGGTCGGCTCAACCCTGATTTCTCCACACAAGCCATTGCCGTTCCCTGCAGTGACCAACGTGTTGTAAAGGCTGGCATCATCCAGATATCTGCAGGGGTCGGATGTAGAGGTATAAAGCCAACCGATTGGCCAAATATTAGGTAGTGTTGGCAAAAGCAGTCAGCTTAGGTGAGCGGCTAGAGGGATACCTAGAGGTACCTACCTAGGAGGACGATTCCCATTACGTTATATAGTATCATGCTCACGGTCGCTTACTGCAAGCCTCGTAGTGTAGTAGGTATTCAATCATTGCTTGTTAGGTCTCCCCAATCGACTGTCTACTAGCGGGCGGGCCCGCCACTAGTCAGGTTCTTTACTTCGTCCACGGTCATTGGTTGGTATTGGATTCTCCTACAGTACAGTATATGGTATTCGTGCATAAGACATTCAGGTCGGCGAGACGGCATATATATATGCAGGTAAGCCCTCTGGCCGGCTTATCGTAGGCGACTTTGGCGCCAAGGGTTTAGCCTAGCCCGTACATTACAAGTCGCTCCCGCGGTACGAATCAATGAACCCGACTACCTCTAGTGGCCCGGCCCGCCCACTAGGCAGCCGTCGATTTTGTAGACCTGACGAGTACGGAAAGCTTGTCCTCGTTCCATTGGAACATCTCCAGGGGCATCAAATGTAACTCAAAGACAAAACACGCAAAATCTAAGTGGAAGGGTGTGTTCCACTCGTATTTTGGGGGGGTTTCGCCGGGTGAACAGGCTCCCGTCAGTCAAAACTGTGATCCTTCCAAGTACCTTACTTTGGTAACAGTGCGGATGCACCTGTTCACCCTGTGAACAACGACGTTCAACCCAGAGAAGAAAAAAAAGCCCAGGGACACAGTTTTTCACATGCCAACCGCCCGACCACAACGCTCACATCTATTTTCATCAAATAGGTAAACAAACAAAAGGAGCTGGGTGTTTTGCAATGTGCATCGTCCGCTGAAGACGCTGGAAAGAGTGCTAAAGCAACTTTAACCACCCAAACTTCAGCGCCAAAACAACAGCATTAGAGGTACTGGACCATTTTCACTCCAAACAGCTTCCATTTCTTTGCAATCCGGTGAAATCCCGAGGAAAATTGGCCTGTGCCACTTTCTTTTTTTTTCTTTTTTTTTTTTTTTTTTTTTTTTTTTTCTCGAAGGGCCTTTTGCTCGGTGAACACGGGCCTAAAAAAGGCGAATGGAACATACCTTAGCTTGGGCTCCGTACCCGAGAATGATGGCGGGATTCCAACTGTGAGTCTGCGAGTCGTGAAACGCACGCGAGGACCAGGCAGCCGTGGTTGGGCCTGGTATAGCTTTACTGCAACTGACACCTGCCCGATTTGAGGTAGATGAGGCTCTAGACAATATCGAAGGATGACATTTTCATGCTATGTTGTTGCGCATGGTGGTTTCCAGACCGGTTGTTGGTGATCGGACTCACGCCGTGAACCTCCGCCTCGTGAGATTAGCAATGGCCGGGATAGTTGGTCCTGACCCGTACAGCTTTACTATGGCTGTAACCTGCCGGATGAAGGTTAGATGACCTGATTCTCGAGATGACTTTTCCCGTCAGCAAGTGGATTGGATTCAAAACGCTGTCGGGCGAGGTGGGATTCAAACCGGTTGTTGGTGATCGGGCTCACGCCGTGAACCTCGGACTCATGAAATTGTGATGGCCGGGATAGTTGGTCCTGACCCGTATAGCTTTACTATGGCTGTAACCTGCCGGATGAAGGTTAGATGACCTGATTCTCGAGATGACTTCCCGTCGGTAAGTGGAATTGGACTCGACATGCTGTTGGGCGGGGTGGTTGGCAGGCGGGTGTTGGTGATCCGGATCAGATGTGGTGTCGTTTGAGGTTCCTAGACACCAGGTCTGAGTTCATTCTATCAGTCCTTCAATGCCACGCCTGGAAGCCAACTCTCCAAACATAAAAGGGGCTTGAAATCCGCTCACAAGGTCAACCTTTCGATAGACACTGCAACAACAACACCATCTTCTGTCATTGCCTTCCTACTACATCCACTTCTTTTACTACCAACCACCTATCCAGCTCTCCTCCTCATCAGCCAAGATGCCTATCATCGCGATTGCCCATGTCGTTGAGGTCCTCATGTTTGCCGGCGTCTTTGCAGGCACCATCTCGGATTATTGCAGGAAGCACCCTGGAAGGGGTTGTGTCAACAAGCGCGATCTCATGACAGAGCTTGCGTCTGCTCCTATCCTGAACGTCCGTCAAGACGTAGGCCCTTGCAATGTCCCAAGATACAACTTCGACATCTGCAACGGCCAGCTCCACGATCAGGCCAACAGGGGAATCAGGGTTCAAACCTCGATTCCCTCCGCTGGTGGTAAGTGATTCACTGGACGATGCCTTCAGACTGGCAGCAATTTTTGCTAACGAAGAACATTCATCAGTGGGCCAATTTGACAATGTGCCACCGGCCTGTATGAACCTTGCTGTGGCCTTGTCGGGCTCCTGCTCTGGCGAAGGCCCTCGCCCAACTCCTTGCGGCTCAGCCTGCCTGCAGTATACCGGACTCTCGGACGACCAGTTCCGCCAGCTCTCCAGCTACCTCCAGAGCTAAGGCAGCTGTCTGGTCCAAGAAACACTTCTGTGAGTGAACTCGAACTCTTGATTCCGAAGACATATCATACTAACCATTGAGACTTGCTTCATCAGGAGTGTCTGTCCATAGTGAGGCCGTCTGTCTTAAACTGGCCCCTTAAGATGTGCGTGCTCTTGTGGTGGTTGGGCCTCTTAAGTGCTGAGAAAGCCCGTCCTGGCCACTTCCCAAAGTTTTGGCTTGGAACGCGCGTATTCTTCAATGCTTCTCTTTGGCCTTGGTTACCATGGTCAAAGGGAAACAGTCCTTTTCTCCTTGTCAAAACAGCTGATTTTGTTTTTCCTTTTTACATTCGTTTGTCATACTTGAATTTCGATTTAGTGTACATACATAGCTGCCTCAAAAAAGTCTGGATGAGAATTTACTTCGCCTTATCAAGACCCAACTGCCAAGCTTTTGGAACACGGTCAAGTGTTTGTACATGTAGAGGTAGTCGAGAGTGGGTGTAGCTTGGCCATCAAACCGTCAAAGCCAACATCACGACCACGGGTAGCTCAAGTGCGGTGTCGTCAAGCGTGTAGTCGTCGAGCCAACTCGAGATGCATGTAGAGGTATTCTCCTGGCCTCCCACTACTCCCATGTGCAGTCAATCATCTACTAAATGAGACCTTCCCTCGAAGGTTGTCCTCGTGATGTTGCCGGTCTCATCTGCGATGTCTGATTCAGTCCGATCAGTTCTCGATAACCGCTTTCCCCCAACAAAGCATTCAAAGCTCGAAAGACGTCATCGCTACTCTTGCCCAAGGAGTCCAAGTTGATGGGATGCGATGAGAAACTCTTTTTCATATCGCTACTCCTGGACCGTTTCCAGCGACGATGATGGATAATGCTCGTTGACACCGATCAAAAGCGGGTTCGATTCTGTCTGTAGAGGTAGTAACGAATGATTGACGAAGACATCACGGCTGTTCGTTTGTTCAATGACCGCCTCATGTAAAGGATGATGGAGGAAGCCCACCGTCCGTCCCGCACATGAGTGGGTAGGTATCAGATCTCATGCCGTACGCGTTTGCTCTCATGAGTCTTGGATTCCATAGAGCATCCCACCACCTGTTCGTGGATTCTGGATGCAGTTGGCTTGAGCTTGATAGACACGGAGACTCATCGACGATGAAGTTGAGAATAAACGCATGACAGATCACTCGTCGATCCGATGTGACTTCTCAATAGTGTTGATGGTTTCATGTGTGATTGAGAGTGATTGGATTGTTGAGCTACCCCTCGTAGGAATTCGAGACGGAGACGTAGGGTACTGTAGCGTAGGTAGTTCGTCAATCGTACCTATGTACTTATATTGTAATGTAGCTTATTGTATTTGCTAATTTGGATGTCCCTCTCTTAGGTATGTTTGTGGCTAGCTCGTGTTAATCGCTTTGTAAAGTTGCGAGCCGAATATTAAGATGTTAGCCGCGTAATACGCCCTTCGGAGGTTGTAATGGCCGTTGCTGCTTACCTCTATATACCTAGATATTTCTATAACTAGGTAGGTACCTAGTTTACCTTACTAATACGCTCGGCTATCTTACTCCTTCCGGGTGTATGCTTGCCGTTATAGCCCGACTCCTGTACCCGGCAACCCGCGGGGATCAAGATCTTTTCGAAAAGGTCGAGAAAGTTCAGACGACAAGAACTAGATCCCCCTGTTGCCATAGCAGCCATAGCAAACATCTCCTGCCAAGACGACTTTCTAAAAATCCTCGATACTAACCCCTGCTTATCCTTCTTATTCGACCTATAGAAGAGTGTCTTAACGGTTCTGACGACGCCCGGGAGATACCTATCCATCAAGGTGTTCCGTCGTCAGGTCAACTGATTCTGTCTGCGACTGCACGGCTGCCTAGAGGGTTCAAAAGATCAGACGGTTTCTGTAATCTCTTCTTATTCGTGACTTGCCATGCTCCCGTTCTATTGTGTGCTTGTATTCGTCGTGTGTATGTGTGTGTGTGTGTGTGCCCCACTCTGCTCTGCTGCCTTGAGGTGTGAAAGTAAACTCCCTTTTCTTTTTTCCTATCTTTCTCTCTCTCCTCTTCTTTTAGAGAGACAACTGAACATACTAACTGTCTTCGAGAACGACGTAACGGAGATCTCTCCATACACGTAAGGAACTTGTTGCTCAAGTTGTTGTGATCATCTGCTGACATTGTTTTTGGCAGAACTCGCGTAAAGCAAAGATTCTGCCTTCTGGTTTTTTTGGTTTCTCTCTCCCGGCTGGAAAGTCTTGTAAGTACCTACGTGTCTCGTGGTTATTCATCACTGCACCATCACCGTTCCCTATACGTTCTTCGTTGTGAATGGGCGGAATCACTGACCTCTTGACTCACAACAGTACCACGCATAGCAAGGACAGCCTGCCGGCCGTTTTTTTCCCGTCTCTCTTCCCACCCCAAGATTCTCGTAAGGATTCCTGTCTCTTGCTGCCCCTCATCACCAAATCAGATCTCGAACTTCATCTCTCGCCTCGTCTGTCGCATCCCTATGGCGACGGTCCAGGAGGTTCAATTTCTTCTCGTCAAGGTCTCGCCTTAGTTTGGCACCCTTTCAGTATTCCCTCGCACGTTTTTGTGGCCGGACACTCGCTAATAATTCATGAACAGAACCGCAGAAATGGCTCCCGAGAAGAACCAGAGCACCAACCCCGTCGTCGTGTCTTCCAACAGCAAAGGCAACGACAACGGCCCTGGCACCACCGACGCCAGAGCCTGCGTCCGCGCCAGCGCCCGCGGTGACGACGGCCTTGTGTCCTCTGTTTCCTCCTCCTCCTCGGCGTCAGCGTCTTCCTCTCCCTCTCCCTCTCCGGTCTCCGCGCCCATCCCCTCCTCCGCCGCTGCCGCCAGCACGGGCAACCGTGTTGCTGCTGGTGGTGGGGGTAAAGCCAGGTGGATGAGCGCCCCGGAGCAGGCGCGGTTGAAGTACGTGCACGTGCGAGCCGCGGCCTCGTACATTGGTGTGCTCAGGTCGCCCTTCTTCCCCCAGGACGGAGCGGCGTACCTGGCGCACCTGGCGAGCGTCAAGGCGCGCGAGTTGGAGAAGATGCGAGCCAAGCTAGAGGCAAGGTTGTCGAAAGATGCCAAGACAAAGTCAAAGTCGAAGTTGAAGTCGTCCGGGGGTTTGTTGTCGTCTCGCTGGGCTCTGTTGCCTGTTGTTAGGGTCTCTGGGGGTCTTGCATCGTGCTGGGTCCCGCTTTACCATGGCGGTGGTGGTGGTGCCTCCGGGCTGCTGCTGCTGCCGTCGGTAGAGTATGGACACTATAACAATGACAATGACAATGTCGAAGGGGGTGTGAAGAGTGAGGGTGATAAGGCCAAGGGGAAGGCTGTGTCTGCTGCTGCTGCTGCTTCTTCTTCGGAGGAGGCGGCGGCGGCGGCGGCTGGAACCGAGCCGCCATCTTCTTCTTCCACCTTCGGAAACGGCCGTTCGTCTGGGGGTAACGAGGGGTCTCCCAGAGGCAACCCCAGCAATAGGGTCAACACTAGCATTGACACTCTTCCTTCTGCTTTTTCTTCTTCTGAAGCTTTTGCCGCGGCTGCCAGTACCTTCGACACCAGCATCACCTCCGACACCCCCTCCGACACCACTTCTGCCGCCAACCGTGGATTCTCCATTCGTAGAGGACTCACGCCTCCTTCATCTCCCTGCCCTCCCGCGCCTCGTCTAGCTCCCCTGCTGAAGGGCAAGACGAACTTGACGGAGGACTTCCTCTCGGTTGTCCTGGCCAAGCCGAATCCGTTCAACGGGTTTTGGACCGTCAAGTCTCCGGATTCGGATAACGTCTCCTCGCCTGGGCCTGAGAACATCCCGTTTCCAAGCGCGGCCGAGTACATGTACGAAGCCAACCGCCGCGTTAGCCAGGTTTCCCCGGGGCAACCCAGCCTGAGCGCGCGCGATAACGTTGTCGCTGCTGGTCCTGGCCACGTTCATGCCGATAAGAGGAACAAGAAGATGAAGAAGCAGAAGTGGAAGCAGGAAGGAAGCAAAGGTAGCAAGCTGCGTGCGCCCGAGTCCGTCGTGCCGCCTGTGTCCGTGGTCCGGGGTCCGCCCAGCCGTGCTTGGCCTTTGCCTCGCTGGCAAGGGCACATCAGGAACAGTGATGCTGGACACCAGAACCACAATCAGCATATGTACATGGACCTAGGCTATGTGCGCCGCCTTTGGTCGGAAAAGCTGGAGCTGCATCAGCAGTTCGCGCGCTTGAGGAAGGCCGAATTGGCTTTGTATGCCGACCAGAAGCGAGAGCTGGCTGAGTCCGGGATCGAGGGGCTCATCACCTCTCCTACCGGCAGGACTCACCATGAGCTCGAGCTGATGGTCGGTGAGGCCCAATTTGATTTCAGCAGCAGACAGGTGGTTTCGGCTCCTGATCTTGTTTATCGCAGCGGTCTCGCCTCTTCGGTGGCAGAACCAGCTCACCATCACACAGGTCCCCCCGCGGCGGCGGTTGAACCTTACACTTCCACAACGGTGGTTGATGCCATTATCGCTCCCGCTACGGTGGTTAAAGCTGTACCCTTTACCCTCTCCTCTTCCTCTTTCTCCGCAACAGCCATACCATTTGTGCCGCGGTCCCTGGCTCCCGACGCTCCCGAGTTCGTGCCCTTCGGTCGACGTATCGAAAGGGATTCGCTCTCTGCTACTGCCGAGGAATTCGTTCCGCCTTTAGTTGTCGCCCCTGCCGCTATCTACCCCCAACAGCACCAGTCACTAGCAGCTGAGCAGTCGTCGTTGTCTTCAGAAACACCCTCTTTGGTGCAGCAACGGCAGCAACAGCTCAGCGGAGAAGAGTCGTTGTCGTCTTTGGACCCCGGCCGCGTCAACTCTTGGACGGATCACCGTCGTGACCACCCTCGTGCGCCCCGGCACTTGAGGCCATCTCACCAAGGTCACCAGCGGAATCATCACCAGCCAGAGCTCGCACTTCGCCGCCCTCCCAGCGTGTCGTTTGGCTCTTGGTCGTTTCCTTCGCAGGCCTTTTTACCCCCTTGCGAACCCCAGGCTGCCACTACCACCGAGGAGAAGAAAAAGTTGCCGCCCCCGTCTTTGTTCGACCCAGCCCGTCCAGATTTCGAGGAGAACTTCCCGCCTCTTGGTCAAGCCCCTGCTCACGCCCACACCAAAGCCAAGCTGTTCAAGTCATTCAAGCAGCAGCAACAACAACAATCCAAGGCGTCCAATTCTGCTGGCTCTCCCTCCTAGTTAGAGGAGACCGGCAACTTGGAAGCTAGCAACTCTCACCACGCTGCTGTTCAAGATGACCACGGCCACAGCCAGGCGGACATCTATGCTGCCAGCCCCATTCTTCAGTCTGCATCGGCTACAGCTATCGTCAGCACCACCACTGGTAATAATACCACAAGCGAGACGAGCGAGAGGATCAAAGGCACCATCAGTAGCGATGGCTATGGTCGTAGTAATGGCACTGGCACAACTTTTGCCGGCCCTGATGAGACTGATGGCGACAACCAAACCCATGTCCATCCCGCCCAGCCCCAGCCCCAGTTCCTTCCCAACGCTCCTGAGCAGCACCACAACGACATTACCTCGGCGGAGGAGCGACGTCTGCTCCTGCAGACTTACCACTCCGGCCGTGACGATCCTGGTCCTGTCCCTGATCTTGGCTGTGGTCTGGCTCCTCTCCCTGTTTTTTCTGTGGGCACCACCCCTGGACCGCTTACTTTCCCGCTTGCGCCGCCTGCTTCCTACCCCCACGGCTACGGCTACGGCTATGATCAACCGCCTTTTGGTCCTCCTCACGCCCACGCCCACGTTCACGGGTACCATCACCAACCTCTCCAATCTCTTCACCCCCAGCGCCGCGTCCACTTCGCCGACTACAACACGGTGATCCACTTCCCTCCTTCGCCTTCGCCTTGGGGGAACATAGGCGCCGTGTGGGAGTTGGTACCTCAGCAGTGTCCAGATGGTGACAGCGCCGGTTTTGGTTCTGGTTCTGGTTCTGCTTCCAGTCCTGGGTCCAATCCCCACTCCCCTCCTGCTTTCCTCCACCACAATGACGCAGGCCTAAACCCTTTCGTTCCCCGCCGTCCGACAGCCTTGGAGCAGCAGCTCCCCCTTCCGACTCCCTACAACTACTTCTCTTTCTCTTCGCGGCTTATCCCCTCCCACCTCTTTGAGCAGGCTCAAGTCACTTTCCAGCAGCAGCAACGGCAGCAACAACCCCCTCCTGCCTTCAACTCCGGCTACCCAGCCCCTTTCCCCGCTTTCAACCCGGGTTCGGTCCCGTCGTTGTCCTGGGAGATCCTGGAGATGGTGGATGTGTTGGACTTGGTGGAGGACTTGAGGAGTGCGGGGGTGGTGGAGAGGGAGGCGGAGGCGTGGCAATTAAGGGCGCCGGTTGGGGAGAGAACGTGGGATTTGAGTTTTGGAGAGGGAAGTGGGGATGTGCGAGGGGAAGGGGAAGGGGAAGTGGAGGAGATTGGGTTGGAGGAGGTGTCTGAGGTGGTGAGGGAGTTGGTGAAGGAGATTGATGAGTTTGATGATTAGATTTGGGGGAAGGAGAGATGTGTGAAAGAGAAGGAATTTGGGATTTCCAATCCGGGTGGTGGAGGATGTGGTATCTGGAAGGAGTCTTGAGCTGGAAAGACTCGGGAATTGAAAGGAAAGTTAGGTGTATCCGTGCCCTTCGCTTGCTTTCGTTGGACTACAGATGATATCTGCTGGTTTGCTGGATTCAAGAAGGTTTGCTGTGCGGGGAATGAAAGTCTGGGTGACACTAGAAAAGTTCAGACCAAATCAGGGGCAAGCACCTTGCCTGGCTTCCGAAATAACCATGATTGTTGCCGCCCAGCATTGAACCCTAATTGTGAACTTCATTCATCCAACAGTGTGTCCTGCCCCTTAATCATCTTGAAATGAAGAGTCTTGCGGCGTTTGTCGTTTACTTTACACGTCGAATTCGCAATCCCTCTCCATTCCGCACGTGCTAAAGGTAGAAACACTCGCCGAAAGGATAGATTGTGGGGCCCGGCTTCGAATCGGAGGTTTTCTTGCTGGAACCGGCTGAATGATAGGCCTTGGGCTTTACAAAGCGAACCTGGTAGCGTGGCGACTGCTTCGTGGACTAGCCGTGGTGGCCATCTCGGCAGCATAGCAATGGACGAATGGATAAATCTACATCCACCTCGAACTCGAAGTTGTCGAATGACTCGAAGAAGTCGGTTTCAAGGTCAATAACAACATCGTGGACATATTGTGAAACGATGGTTGAGCCGCTTGGGTGGATATGATGGGCGTTGAGCCAGTAGAATCCACGGCGCGGCGTCGGTTTAAGGACGAGTGAGCAAACTTGCCTCACAACGAAATGTTGACGTGGTTTGAGTGGCTCAAGATGATGGGTCGATTCAAGCTCAGCGATGGAATGCTCAGGTTCTTGAGCGCCTGGAAACCACATGGCATCATGGCCTTTTCCGTACACGGTTGGTAGAGCTATTGTTCATGGTCTCCCCTCTTGCTTGATCTTGCTGAGTTGGGCACGTGAGGCAGTGTTCCTCGCTGGAGCATCTTTAACAACTGGTGATGGTGGTTATAGGGTTTCAGGTGGGAACGACGGCAGGAGAATTATGTCCCAACCTCAGGATCCGTCCTGGCAAGGGATGGGGCTTGGTCCGTCCATTGCCACGCGGCCGAGATGGCCATCAACCAGATGCAGGAATACCCGATCGGCAATTCGTGCGTTCGTCTCTTCCAGGGCCGCCCCCAGAACATTGTAGTACTCGGCACCCTGGCCAATGCTGTTCATGGCGTAATTTTGGAAGTTGAAGCCACGTGGGATTCCAGTCGGTTGCTGGCCGCTGGTGGCCGGGATGAATGTGGAATCACGGAGTGGTAGCTGTTGGACAAGTGTTGAACCGGGTGGGCTGCAATTGAGGAAGTCGTGGGTACTCTGGGTGGGATGACGGTAGGAGAACGGCTATTCTGGTCAAGAGGTGGATGATTGGGGTACAAATTGTTGTCCAGGTTCAGGTTCAGGTTCAGGTTTGGTGATGGGAAAGGTTTGTGGCAGAGTCGATTGTCGCGCCTCGGGTGATTTGCTGCGATATCGGCATCCTCCAATCTCACGATACCTTCAAGTTTCAACAGCGGTTTCATGGGGTAAACAGGACCTCTAGCGCCAACAGCAGTAACACCAAGGTTCTGGAACAAATCGAAGTAATGTCCTCATCGAGGGCTTCATCGAAGTGCCGTCAAGGTTCTCACCTACTTACTTGTAGCCAATCAGGTCTCAATGATTACCACTTTTAGGTTTTTAAGGAGAGGATGAAAGGAATTGAAGGAAGGGAGTGAGATGTTTATCTGTCTGACAAACTCGGCACTTGTATCATGGACATAATTGGGACACTCGCCCCAGGGCTATTGCAGTTTAGACTGTGGATATTGCGAATGGCCGCCCTTGACCCCGGGAACGTGGAAGCGAAGAGAATTGAATGACTTGGGATACATGAAGTGAGATAGTGTGTTTGGCAAATATACAAACTTTGCTTGGACGTAGCTAAACGTGACACAAATTACCAAGTGATTCCCATAGTTTTGCTCTCAATCCGTGGTGTTCAGTACCTGACTTCAAGCTATGCATGTGAAAAGAGGTTGGACACCAGGAAGTGCAAATACCTCGACCCGGCCGTTTCGATATCTCAGCAGCAGCACAGGGCAGAGAGAAGCTAAAGAAAAAGAAATAAAAACGCTGACGGAATGACTTGCAGCGTCAGCACTATGTGCGTGAAGCTTTGTGTAACTTGTCAGCTGAGTGTACAACTGAATATCGAAGAGTGTCTGTCTGGTCACTGTATTGAGCCGTGTTCCGAATGTTTACATTTCGGACCCCAGTCTCTCAGCACTTGCGGAAAAGGGGGCGTCAGCCGCCAAGAATCTAACCATTACACCCACCACCCGCCAATATTTCGGGCAAGGGGACAGGGGAACACGGATAACAACGGAACAGACGATTTCTAGATTCGCTTGGTTCTTCTAGAAGGTGGCTGACCGCACAGGGCTGGCACAACGGCATCTCGGTTCTTGGCTACACTATACTATGTATGTATGTAGAAAAGGAGAGGGCAAGGCGAGGGCTTAGGCGGATCCCGAACCATGTTCGTTGCGGAGTTTTGGCGAAATAGGCAATGCCATCTTTGACATCCTGATTGTTTTGGGGATTCTATAAGGCAACGGGTATCGTGGGGTTTCCGCTGTCGATCAAGCAGACATGCCTGGTATTTGAAGTTTATCAGATGAACTATGTACGTCTGGACTCTGGAGAAGGTGGTGAAGGTGGTGTTGCAACATTGCATGTAAAGGAGGGTGGGGTGGGGGGAGTGGAGGGGGAGGAAGAAAACGGCGAAAAGCTCAAGACATCCCAATACATTTTTGCCGATGATTGGCGCATTTCGGCAGATCCATGCCCCTCCTCCGTTTCAGAAAAACCGCTGCGCATACCATTGGGGAAAACCCCCCATGTTCCCCATTCTATTCTAGACTTTTTGTCCCGCTGTGGACGCGCCATCGTGCACTTTATAGACGCCGCCAACCAGCCGATGAAGGATGTGCATCGAATCATGGCCGGCGAATGTTTGATGGAGTGAACGTGTTTGACATTTGATCGGGTGGCTTGCTTTGACTTGAATATTAGCTTCTTTGTATGTGGAGAGAGCATAAGCACAGAAAGGAGGTTTAATTGCATCTCAATGCTGTGGATGTCTTGGTTGTTATGCTGTACATAGAGATGTGTATGTATATTACTGTACGTCGGGTAAAAGTAACACAGGAACCTCAAGGGCTGCAATACTGACAGCTGCTGTCTATCGACCTCAGTACTCCCTGTAGAGAAAGATAGGTACCTAGAGGTAATGTATGTCTGTCATGTTGATAGTACCCGTCTCATCCCGTATGTAATAGTTCGTGGTGGCCCTGAGCACACGAGCAAGTGCGGTGAGGCCCTGATCGGCTGGATGTGCTCGTATCGAGCACACAGATATTTCAGTACAATCTGGCGCCCTACAGCCAAGCCAGCTAGCAGTTGTACTGTTTTTTAGGTAGTAACCGTACTGGAGCTGTACTGGGGTGACCGTATTAGTGCTTTACTAACTAGATTTGTCGTTATTAACCGTATCTAGTATGGTAAATGCCCAGAAATCCACACCGCTTTCAGAGAGAGGGGTTGACCTTATTACTTATTATCGTAATGTGAACAAAGTAAACAATGCCAGCAATCGACCAAACAATTAAATAGCCTCCCAAAATAACCTTACAAAGCCTGTCACTATCGTAGAGGGTATCGATTTGTCCTAGCTTCATACCCAACCCCCTATACTGGGTCTGGCAGTCGAAGATACTCTACTTAAGCCCATCCAAAATATATTTAGCGACCCGGTGCCCGCTAACCGTAATAATAACCAACCGCTTCCCTTCCCCTCTCTAGTTTTTATACTAATTTAATTAATAAATAAGGTAGGTTAGGAACCGCCGTTAAATCCTCCTACTACCGAAATTACTAGTATTGAAAATACTCCTCCATTAACCCAGCCCGCGCTAGTTAAAAGAAAACGTACAACCAAACTAATAGCGAGGAAGTTAGTAGTAAAGAGAGTTAGAGCCCCGCTAAAAATGCCTATACTCGATAGTATAAAATTAATAAAATTCACCCCCCGGACTACCGCTATCTTTATAGATTAGTTACTAGAATATAAAAATAAAAGATAGTTTAATAATACCCATTTTAAAAACTATAGGAAGGTATGGGACTACTTCATTGAAATATATAATAAGACGTAACTAGGTTATTGTTAGGACTTTAAACGCGTTAACGGTAAATAGAAGTTTAAAATACAATAGTATAGAGCGTAATAAAGCCTCTTCTCTCAATACTCTAATATTAGCCTCAACCTAGAGACTCAATTGCCAATTATCTCAAACAAGCACTAAAAGTCTTTCGTTAAATACTATACTATTAAAATATATAAAATCGAATAAGTCCGCCGCCAACCGCTTAGTAATATCAATATATACAAACAGGTCTTCTTTAAAGCGAAGGGGACGGGGCTTAATATTACTAAAATAGGGGAACCGTAATAAAAGGATATATTTAGCACCGGAGTTAGTCAGAGCTTTAAGGAGGATATAAACGATAGTAATTTATTTAGTAACGGAGAAGTAAATAATAAAGCGGGGGGGGATAAGTATAATGTTAGTGGGGAGAAGTTTAATGAAAATAATAAAAAGGAGGATAGTAACGAATTTAAACTATCCGTAACAACCTTAAGAAGGCGCATCGCCGTACTAGTAATAAGCTAAGTATAGCGGTATTATTATACTACCAATCCGGATAAGACCCCCGCCAATCAAGCTATTACATTTATAAATATAAATAGAGGAGGAAGTAGTAAAAAGAAGTCGGATATTATTATATTAAGTAATTCAATAGAGAAGGCGGCAGCTTTATTACAAATACTTAAACTTCCTAGTACGGCCAATATTGGTATTGCGGTTAATAATTTGCAAGCGCGCTTTATTAGTAGAGTAATAGAATTAGAGATGATAGCGTATATTAATTATCTTATAAATAATCCGCTAATCGTAATAATATAAATAAGGTTGAGTGAGGGTATGAAAAGTACGTATATAGATAGATGGAAACGAGGGATCTAGAAAGATATAGTGCTAGTTAGAAAATTAGATAATTTACAATTATTTTACTAGAATTATAGAAGTAAATACCCTTTTTTTTTAATTAGTAAAATCTTAGTAAAATCAAACACTCGATTTTATATAGATATCTCGATTTTACACAGATAATTCGATTTTACACAACTTTACTCAAATAATTCGATTTTATATAAATAATTCGATTTTACACAACTTTGCTCAGATAATTCGATTTTACATGACTTTACTCAGATAATTCGATTTTACACGACTTTACTTAGATAATTCGATTTTACATACAACAATCCCATCCCCCCTTAACCCCCCCTCTACTCTACACTCTACTCTATACTCTACGGCTCGCCTACTATTATTTATTTATTAACTAAGCTACGTTATAACGGATATTATTAAAATAAACACCCCTTACCATCTCCTTCGCTCGCCGGCGCACTATTCTCATTATCCCCTCCTCAACGGACGTTAGTACCCTTACCTCCTTCTTCAAATATACAATAATAAAATTATAAAGCCCGGTTACTACGTATATAATTTGGATTTACTTCTTTATAGAGTACTCGATGGGTACGACCCGAATAATCTTCTACCTTCGCTTTATAAAATTAAAGACTTACTTAACAACTATACGAATACGAACGTAACGTAAATTATATAACTCTTTTACTATTTCTAGGGGTTTATCTATATTTCTCCAATTTTATAAATAGTATTTAATATTCGAGAAGGGAATTATAATACCCAGTTGCGTTCCAAACCCTGTATCTATTACGTAATATCGTGACTCTAGTATACAGAAAGATCTCTTAAACGTATAAGTAGATAAAGAGGTATTATTAAAAGACCTTTTAACGCCCGCTAGTACGTACGTAAAAGTATAGTTGAATTTTATTATAGTAAATACGTTTTAGGTAATATTACCCTTTCGATTATAATACCGAAGTTGCTACTGTAGCGGTATATAAGTAGTAATATAAATTCTATTAATAGTACTAATATAACTATTAAAGGTATTAAGAATCGGATTTAGTTCGATATCCGAATTTAGATAATTATTATTTAATAATTATATAAAGTACTAGTAGAGGATAATTAACTTAGGGAATAGATTTTATACGATTATACTTATAGTGTTTTAATTAATCTGGAATTTGTATACTATAGTCCACTAGGCTTCGGCGTACGCTAGAATATATAGTAATATTATTACTTTTTGGTGTGCGGTTTAGTATCTAGTCGACTCCAATCCGGTATAGATTTGAAGCTATCTTACTAGTATATTGAAGGTATATCGATTTATATGAAAGAGGTCTTTGAATTAGGTCTTAGATTTATAGTATATAGTATTTATTAGTTTTCTGGCGTACTTTGGACCGCCCGGGTATATAGGGGTAGGAGATTTGCGCTCCTTTTTCGTATTAAAAAGAACGTGTATTGTATTAACCGCGGTATAAGTAAAGGTAGTTCGGTTGGTACTGATGTGGGGTGGTTCGTTTATTCTTTTTTCGTTTTCCTTGTATGTTCTTCTTTTCCTTGCTGTGGGCTCTTGCTTTCAAATGATAGGTGGAGGTATCTGGGCCTTGGCTCATTGCTCAGTGAGGAGCAGATCTGTTGCACTGGTCGGACGGGACCCTGGGAATGTAATGAGTAGAAAGGGGATATAAGGAGGAGATCCCGACCGAGAAGAGAGAGGAAGGCAGGGACTCTAGACCAGACTAGACAACACCTATCCTCGATAATAGACCAAAGAATCCCGCTCCTACACTACAGAATTACCGTCGAACGCCCTCGTGATAGTAAGCTTAGTAACCCTTTTATGAAAGAACTAACTCCTAGACCTATCTAGCCAACTTAAGACTAATGAGGAGAATCTTATCCTTCTCGTTGGTCTTTGGTGGTGGTTGATGAGTTGTAACTTTGCTACTCTATCTTAATTCCTAAGGACGAAAGCCATGTTCAACTCCGGATCTGCTCCTCACTACATTTAGGTGTGGTAGGGTGCTTTTCGTGTTGGTGTGGTTTTTGCTCCATTTCAGTACTATCTATATCGTTTTTATATCAGGGTTTGAGTAATTAATTTATATAGAGATTATAGTAAATAGTCGTTTCTTATATCCTACGATAAAATACTCCAAGACACAATAGAACTTTATTTATACCCTACAACCTTGCTAACTCAGCTGGATTTTCACGTTTGTACCCGCCGTGTGTGCTCCAACACTCGTGTGTTCGATTACGAGCGTAGTCTGGGAGTTCTTATCGATTCTAGTATATATTCGAGTATATAGTAGTTAAATTACCCTTAATACTATGAAAAGTGGAGATGTTTAAACCTATATAGGAAGGTAATGTACTCCGTATTAGCGTGGTACGAAATTTGGCACCCTGGTTAGTATACAGGCTGTGAGGACCAGCACACAGCGGTAATCTACTGCTAAACTTGGTCTAGCTTGCCTAAAAAATCGATCTTGGCGGTTAAAAAGCAACTCAAAAGGCGTGTGCTCGACGGAAGCACATCCAGCCGATCAGGGCCTGAACAATGACAAAAGTACGGTAAACAAACTGCGTGGATGCTGGTGGAGTGATTAGTCTGCTAGGTACCCGCGACTTGACATCGGCCCATTTAGGGCCTCAGTTAGTGCAGGCTTGGCGTACCGTGTACCCGAAAACCTCTCAGGGGACGACACACTGACCGACCATGGACATTTTGCACTTACAAGCATCAATCATTCTGCACCCAGCTCCCCTCCCACATCACAGACACACACACACGGGCAATTCGTATCACGACAACAGCAGCCAGCGGCAGCGAGTCGACCTGCCCGTCCCGCCCGACCTTGTCCCTCACTTCTTTCCTCCAGTGATTCCTGTCTTGTCTTTAAGCGGCCCCGTCATTGATCACCCATTGTCGACCAGTGGAAAGCGACTGGTCTTGTCTCGCTCTCCCTCCGTCCCTCTCCGCCAATTGAATATCCAGCAGCCAGCCAGCCAGCCAGCACTTCCACGCACTTGCTTGCTTGTGTATTTCCGTTTATCAATGGCCAGTCGCCCTGCCGCGTAAACAACCACCATTACCTACCTCTAGTACCACACCACTGCACCCACCACCACCACCACCTTACTTGTCGCCCGCTCTCGCCCGTCCTTGTGTCGCCGCCTCGTATATTGTCTAGAGCCGGAGCAGCCTGTACCTATTCCTTGGGTTTCCACCTCCCAAGAAACAACCGAAATGTCGGCATCCGAAGTACAGGAAGGGGCTGCTACCGCCCACGAGCCGGTCGCTACCAAAGAGGTCCCCACGGAGACGGTTCAGGAGGTCACCCACGAGCACGAGAAAGAGGACGCTGCTTCCTCTCCCGTAACAGAGACAAAGGACAAGGACTCCCAGCGACCAGCCTCTCTCGCTCCCACCAACCTGTCCGACCCAGACGACAAGGACACCGTAAGTCTCCCTTTCCTTCCTCCAGTTACCATGTTACCTGCCCCTAGGGAGGTACAAGGCAGTGCAACCCAAAGCAACAAGAGTACTATACGAGCGAGTGCTGACCAGCGACCACAACCATGATTATTGCCCATCATGCAGGATACGTTTGAAGATGCCATCGACACAGGTTCCGTAAGGTCCCTAACAAAACGCTCTTCCTCGTTTCACCGCCCGCGCTCCCCATCCATGGACGATTCTGCCGCCGCCGACGCCGACCACGACGCCCGCTCCCACACCACCGAGACACCCCAAGTTCCCAAGACGGCAGAGATCAAGGAAGAGGAGCAGGAAGACGTCTTCGAGACCCCGGCACAGGAGCAGGAAAACAAGTCGCTACACCGCATCTCGCATGCTTCCAAGGTTTCAGAGGCGTCCGCTTTCTCGGCTGCATCGCTGGACGATGTAAGCCTAAACGATAATTCTACAATTGGAGACAAAACAGGTACGTTGGAAGCTGTACGCACAGCCAAGCAAAACCCACCAGACTGTACTAACGAGGGATTCCAGAAAAATCCCTTGATACGGCGCCTTCGTCAACCAAGAAGCTGTCAATAAGCAGTATAGCTAGTGCCCTGCCCGCCATGCCGTGGTCACCTTCCGCTACCGACGAAGCTGTAAAAAGCCCACCCGTGGCCGCTGCCGTGGCTGCTGCCGCTCCTCCTGCGCCTGCTCCCGCTGCCCTTACTCCAGCACCACCGCCTCCCGTCACCCGAAAACTAACTAGCCCCTTTTCCTGGCTGTCCAGGAGTTCATCAAAGGAGCAAGCCAACCCACCCCCGCCGCCAGCTGCCACAACGGCTCCAAGACGGAATACCGCCAGCTCTGTTGCAACTCTCTCCAGCAACCCCGATGGGACATTAGGTAAGGTTGACGAGGAGGGCAATAAGAACACTCTCAAGGATCGCTTCAAGCAGTTGCGCCTAAGGGAGGAGGGCAGCACGCCCACGGGAGACGACGATGAGAAGAGCGCTACCCCTGAGGAGAAGGAAGCAGTCCAACCCCCTCCATCGCCGCTTCCACCAACCCCCAACCCGGCTCTCGCTCCCGGTACCGCATCCGGGGTCACTGCTGGCCCAGCAGGCTCCGATACTCCTGTGGACTGGGATCTGTGGCAGACGGTTGTGTACGAAGGTCCCGCAGCTGTTGCTCGGACAAGCCCTGAGCAGTTGAAGGAGGCCATCGCAAAGGGTATCCCCAGCGCCATCCGTGGAGTCATCTGGCAAGTTCTGGCACAAAGCAAAAATGAGGAACTGGAAACAGTCTACCGAGACTTGGTTGCGAGGGGTACAGACAAGGAAAGGAAAACTGACAGGCAGAGCAATGCCTCAATATCACTGAGTAACGGCGGCAAGCCGAGCGGCAAGGATACGCCCTCTTCTGCCTCGTCAGTTCACTCAGAAAAATCTGGGCCCAACGGAACCGGCGCTCCTTCTCCGACAGAGAAAGACGCGGAAGCCCTCGCCAAGGCCCAGGCTCTTGCCGCGGCGGAGCGCAAGAAGAAGGAAAAAGAAGACAAGGAAATGTTATCGAGGCTCGAAAAGGTCATTAGAAGGGATCTGGGCGCTCGAACGAGCTATTCCAAATTTGCCGCCGCCCAAGGGCTTCAGGAGGGCCTCTTTGGCGTGTGCAAGGCATATGCTCTCTTTGACGAAGCCGTCGGCTATGCTCAGGGCATGAACTTCCTCGTCATGCCTCTTCTCTTCAACATGCCCGAGGAGGAGGCCTTCTGCCTGCTGGTACGACTAATGAACCAATACCACCTTCGCGAGCTCTTTATCCAGGACATGCCCGGTCTGCACAAGTGCCTCTACCAATTTGAGCGCATCCTCGAGGACCTCGAGCCCGCCCTCTACTGCCACCTCCATCGGCGCGGCATCTCCCCTCACCTCTACGCCACGCAGTGGTTCCTCACCCTGTTCGCCTACCGCTTCCCCCTGCAGCTCGTTCTGCGCATCTATGACCTGATCTTCTCCGAGGGTCTGTCGGCCATCATCAAGTTCGGCATTGTGCTCATGCAAAAGAACGCGACTGCCCTCCTCGGCATGTCCGACATGTCGCAGCTCACCACCTTCCTCAAGGACCGTCTCTTCGACGTCTACATCGACGCCACCCCGTCGTCCAACTCAATCCTCGAGAACGGCTTCTTCGGCTCCAGCTCCGCTAGTATCGACAAGGAGGTCTACCGCGCCGACCAGCTCGTCCGCGACGCGTGTGACGTCAACATCACGGCCGAGCTGCTGAAGGAGTACGGCAAAGAGTGGGAGGAAAAGACCAAGGCCGAGAAGGAGCGGGAGCAGGAACTCGAAGGTCTGAAGCAGGCCAACACCAATTATACGGTCATAGTACGCCGACTCGAAGAGCGCATCGAGGCCGTGGATCGTGAGCAGGCCTCGCTTGCGACAGAACTGGTGAGGACAAAGGTGGAGAACGAAGAGCTCAGGGATGAGAATGAATCTCTCAGGGGCCAGGTGAAGGAGCTGAGGGTGGTGATTGAGCATCAATCAACGGAGCTGGAGAACAAGTGGAATCTAGAGCGGGACGATTTGATGAAGAGGAACGAGAAGGTGCATGAGGAGAATCAGAAGCTGGAGAAAGAGCTGGCGGATTTGGAGGAGCAGTTGGTGCAAACCAAGTTGCAGTATGCTGAGGTAAGTTCGTTTATTTGTCAGGGACAGGATGACGGGACAACGAAAAGAATGCTAACTCATTTTGGGAGCAGATTAACTCGGCTCATGAGACGCTTACTAGGAAGTGGGCGGATCTCAAGAGGCAGGTGCAAGCTGCTTGATCGAGGATCACGGTATGTGGTATGTGATACGTGGTATGGAATACGGTGTGGTGTCTAATAGTAGAATTCGGTGTTATTGGACAATCAGCCTTGTTGTCTTGTCATCTTCTAAGAGAGAAGGGATAGACGATTAAAAGAACCATCATAGTCGTTTTGCTTTGCGTTGCTTCTTCACATGTTGGGACATGGACGGATACCTTTAGATAGTCGTCGTCCTCAGGTTGTGTTGGTGCATTCCATACCTCCTGTTGTTTGTTTAGTACCTTGCCATGTCCTGTTCTGTTAGGAAACCGACTACCTCTCATGGCGGTTCATTTTGGAGGGAAGGAAAATCAGGGAGGGGGAGAAGAAGGGAAGAAGGGAAAGGAAGAGTGGCATTACATATAGACGACGAGAGAGACAGAGAGAGAGGGCACAAAAAGGGGGGAACGAAAGGGTTGATTGGGAGGAGATGAGAAAGCATGAGGTAGCAATGAAGAAGCATAAGAGAACAGAGCATAAGAGCAAAACAGTATAATTTACAGTTACAATGACGTCCTAACAACATACTTACTATATCCATCTTGAGTCAAGATTGCGATGCGATGTCTTTGGTGGCGTCTGGTATAACTCTAACCACGATACCCCTACTACCCCTTTCCTCCATCCCTTTCCTCGTTTTGGAAATGTCGCCTGGACTACCTACCTAGGTAGGTAGATATTCCACGATCAACTCCATCAAGCTCGGTATATGTATGTACGTAAGTGGTTAGCTGTAGGTACAGATATCTTGAAGTATAGACCACATTGATACCTCCTCGTACTACGTACGTTCAAGTTCAGGGAGGAAGAAAAAAATTACAAAAAGAATTTGTTATTTTCTTTCTTCCCCTTAGAAAAAAGGAGTTACAAGACTAGGTAGGTAGGTAGGTACCCAAACATAGGTTGTAGTTACCAAAACTAGGTATTTGAGTAGAAGATAGTTCATATCTTGGAGGAGGAGGAGGCGGCGGGTAGAAAGAAACATTCAAGGTTACTTTTTTTAGGTAGGTACTCTGTGATGAGTCGTCTATACATGTAAACTATATGAGCTAGCCTGCCTTATACTAAAGATTCCTAGGTAGGTAGTTTCAAGGAAGGACATTCATTGTCTTTGTAAGTAGTAGTGAAAGAGAACCTAATTGATGAGAGTTTGTATTAAAAAAAAAAGAAAAAAAGAAAAAAAAAAAGAAAAAGAAAAACAAGGGGGAGGGGGAGGGAGGAAATCGTCGAAAGGTCCTTAGGTAGGTACTTGACTTGACTTGGGTGGTAGGTAGGTGTGTCTTTCCAGTTCAATTCCGAGATTGGGCAAGTTGTTCTTGTCACGTTCTCGAATTTCCAGCCAGGTTCCCGAGTAATGTGAATAACAACAAGAAGGGAATGAAATTAAACTTTGGGGTTGCTTCTCTTCTTCTGTCTCTGTTTCTTTCCTTTCCGAGACCTAGGTAACCCACCGACCGACCACTATTCGGGTCCCTCCCTGCCTAACTAAGTCTAAGTAGCTCGCTTGTATACAAACTTCCTCACGACTTACGACTTACGACTGACGGCGGACTTGCCTGTTAGTCCTCGTGAGTCAGTACCTACCTACCTACCTACCTACCTACCTACCTACCTACTGTGCCTCCTTATTCTTGTCGATCATCGATTTATCTCTTCCTTCCAACCTCCATCAAACCCCCTCTTCTTTCTATCTATGTCTAGGTTTAAGACCAAGTCTAGGTCTAGATCTATCCCATGGCTATAACAAAAACTCTATACATATTAGGCTACCTACCTACCTAGATAGACTTACAAGAAAATTCCCTAGATAAAGATAGATCCATGTATCTTCTCATGTCCTTTATTCCGTCCGTCCGTCCGTCCGTCCGTGCGTCCATCATAAAAGAAAACTTCGCAGGTAGTCAAGTGTCTAAAAAGAGACCAGGAAACCAGGGACCAGGGACCAGGGACTGAAAAGTCAAGAGTTGAGAGTCCGGAACAAGGAACCGTCAACCATGTATGTGGTCGAAACACGACAGAGAATAAGAAATATCGTTAGGTGAGAGGACTTGAGGAAAGACGGAAAGGACGATAGAGTAGATAGGTAGGATTCCCCTTTTACCTTTGTGCATAGAAGGCTTCGGCTAGAAAGTTTACCTATGCGTACGTCTCCCTAAATGATGTGGGAAAAACTCAGTTGGTCAATGGAATAGGCAGGATATCCTGAAGCATCTTCTAAAAAAACAGGCGGAGGTGGTCGCTATCATATGGCAATCGATGCGTTCACCAATTGGTTTGGAAGGCGTCCAACACCTATTGCGGGATGCAAGCTGTTCGGGCTTGATGAGGATACATACAGAGATATTATTTTCATATCAGACCTCCTCTAAACCAAGATCGTACATCACAGATTACGGCGAATTTCGAGAAGTTTAGTGAAGTGAAGCTTTGGATTGACTCGGGTGGCTGTGAATTGTTATGGTATCTCTCATTATCCCGTTGCCCTATAAACCCCATTCCATGCCTTTTACCGAAGAAACGAAGCAGCGAAAGGGAATAAGCAGTGGGCCGCCATCCTTTTTCAGACGACGGGGAACCACATGTTGGTCCTCGTACCGCTGCGCATGGCTCGCACGACAACGGACACGACAGACTCGACAATCGGGCGGACAGCCGACGCGAGGCTTGACCCATCAATCCATCTTCCTCCCTGATCCTCCTGGCACAATAAACTCCTCCCGGCAAGGGCGAGACGTTTACTTGTGGAGCTTGCGCTGGTAGAAAGCGAGCTCCTCACCCTCGAGGATGTAACCGTCGCAGCGACCGGACTGGCCGGGGCGGGAAGAGATGACGGCGTAGAGACGACCAGCCTCGAACTGCTTCTCGAGAGCGGGGTCGACCTTGCCGGCGGCGGCGAAGCGCTCAGCCTGCTTCTTCTCGACAGACTTGGACTTCTTGACCTCCTCAACAACCTGACCCTGCTTCTGCTGGCGACGGCGACCGAGGGGCTGGCCGTAGTGGGCCTCGTACCACTGACGGAAGGGGGCAGCGTCGATCTGGACAACAGCGGACTTGGTGAGGGTGTTGGTACGGACGAGCTCGTTGTTGGAAGGGTGGTCTGAAAAAGGCCACAACGTCAGCTTCTGAACGTGGTTTCCTAACCTGGAACGTGGGAGCCAAAAACTTACACGCGACAACGATCACACGGGTCTTGCGAGTGCAACCCTCGGAGGCCCAGGCGAAGTTACCGGAGTCGAGACGGAGGGCACGGTACTTGTGGTTACCACCGCGGGTGCGGACGGTGTGAATGCGCTTAGCACCGATACGGGTGTTAGCGGGCTGGCGACCCGCCTCGAAGGCTCTCTTCTTCCCTGCCGCGTTTGTCAGAAATGGTTTCTTTTGTACGCGTCAAAACAGGCTCAGAACGCATGGGGTTCAGTCAAGCTCTGCATTTCTGCAAGAACATCAACCTCCCAAGCGGACCTTCGAGAATATTATAGAGTATACGTACGGTAGTAACTGCAGGCAGACACACGTTAGCTGGATTACAGACAGCACTTCAATGAGGGGCGGGATGAACATACGCGCGCTTAGCACCGGTGTGGGAGCGCTTGTGCCTGGAGTCTCTGGAGATACCCATTTTGCCGGTTCCTGAAGCGGTCGATGGTGGTTAGCTTTGCTGTCGGTCGTTGTCCGTCGTCGACTTCGAAGGGTGGTTGTGGGTGTTGCGAAAGAGGCACGCCAGCGTGCCCCTAATCACGAAACTACTAACTTTCTCCTCGTCGGGCGGTTGATGGGGATGGGGATTGGCAAAAATGCAAAAGTACTCACCTCGTCGTGGATCGTTGACGGTGCGGTTGCGAGGTTGTGATGGCGGTGCTGGCGGCGGTCTCAAAGTCGATTTTGGAAAATGTGGGTGTGGAAATTTCGCGGACTCTTTCGGCCACAAGTTTTGGCGGCACCGAAGGGACCCATAGCCCTAGGCGCTTTTCTACACTATGTACATATCACAAGTATCCTCGTACCTCTGCACGAGCCATTCTGCCAAGACACTGACGTCTCGAATCAAAGTGGGGTTTCCTTCGCCTTGCAGCTGAGTGTCAGCCCGGCCCAGGCTTCCAGCTCGAATCGCAACCTGCCGGTCGAAGCCTTGTTGGAGCGGACACTGCAGTGGATGATGTCCCCGCCAGCTTCTGCCCCAGCCGTCCGCTGAAGTGCCCGCTTTGGCTTCGTTAGAGCCTCCAACAACGTGGGGCCGACTGGTGCCTCTTGCTTGCGACGACGTGAGAAACCGGCTCAAGGTGGGGCTGAAGGGACAAGCGGAAAATTCCAGATACATACCACGAGCAACCGCAACACTGCTAGCACATTAGGAGAAGGTCGGGTATATGTAATAAAGTACAAGGTGCTCGTACTATCACGTCTTTTGTGTTTGCATGTCATAAATCTTCCACTTCGGAAGAGAGCACAAGCTTTGGACAAGCTTTCTATAGTACGTACGCGAGTTCCGAGTCGGTCGAAAGTCAACGACGTTCAGAGCCTTGCCCCACCTCTGTAATAGACCACGCTGATGGATGATGATGTATTTCTACACCTTCGACTATCTGAGTGAGCCCTTTTATATAGCACATGCCCATGATAGAGCGTTATGACATTTGTTGTGAAGGTGGAAGAGAACTGCTATGGAATATGGTTTGTATCTATTCACCTTTGCTGTCAAGAGGCTTCACATCGATTGTCCATAGTGCGTAAATTACCGTGACAATACCTAGACGTGCGCCATTGTACGACGCAGCAATCCAAGCTTTGTCCAGCTGGTACCTGCCTAGGTACCCTAGTACCTTACCTTGTCCCGATAACATAAGACAACGACAACGTGGTGACCAACAGTTGCCGTCATGTTCCTCCAGTTTTTCTCGGGCCAACGAGGAGGCTGACCAACGAAGTGGAAGTCAAGTGTAGGTAGAGGTAGTGACTTTGTTGAAATATCTATACAGTAAAAAGGTGGCTTTCTATCTTTTTTCATTGTTACAGTACGGTACGCGCGGAAGCATAGAGGTAAGTAGGTACATACTTACGGCGCCAACCCTGGACCCATCACCAGAGAAAGTTCCCGACTGGACAAGGACTTCGCTGCCCGTGACGCTTTCAACCGGATCCCGTCTCCATCGAAACTTTGCAACCACAGGTGCCCTGCCCGACCTCAACAACACCTTCCCCGACCATCACCCACTTCCACGATCACCACTCAGAGACTGACTCCCTCAATACAATTTCCCATTGTTCGCCCTTCCCTGTCTGTGTGGACGTCGCGAAAAAAACCAAAAGTTGGAGCATCCGTCTTTGCTGCACTGCAGTGGCAGAGGTAGGCACGACGAGCAAACGACGGACCGCGGCATTGTTGTAGTGATTGCCCTGCAAGTGGGACGTGCTTCTTGAGGTAAGGTAGTAGTTACCTGAGTCCCAAGGAAGTTCTGTTCTCGCCCCGCACCCGCCGCCGCAGGCTTGCCAGCCAGTTAGTTGCCTTCCAACCAAACTTCTCAGGACAGTTCGTTCGGGTTGAAGCTCTGCTCCCATATTTCGCAATAACAAGAACAACAACAACAACAACCCGCTCGCTCGCTCGCCCAACCAAAGCATCACGACGACGACGGCTGTTTAATAACCCCCACCAACATCCGTCTCTCACGCATCACCGGCATCGCGGCTTCTGCAAGATCGGAACACCAAAGGACGACCTGCACTCGTCTTTTAGAGTTCTCCAACCAGGTACGTAATCGGTGCCAATCAACGGATTCACGGCCTCAGCCTACCACCACCACCACCACCACCACCATCATCATCATCACCCCCACTTCCCGCTTCTCCCTCTGTTTTTCCACTGCCTACGTCTTGACTGACATCTCCCGATTTAGTTGTCGCCCGCTTCCCGAAACCGTTTTTCTGTTCGATACCAAGCCGCGCAGCCTGCCTTGCTTTCCCATCGGAAGCTGCCGTCCATCAGCGGGGACGTGTTGGTAGTGGAGGGGGAGATTTCACCTTTCGTTTAGTCTAGCGGCCCGGCCGCGTCGCAGTCATGGGGAAGATTACCAAGACCATGCAACAAAAGCACAGGGACACTCTGGTAAGTTGCTGCCCGCTTCCAGCATGCCTTGTCCGTCTGTCTGCTAACTGACTCTTCTGTCGCAGTCTCCTTGGCTGAAAGAGTTTGTCGACACAGCCTCGAGTGCACCTCTGCCTCTCATCCTGCAACGACTCGACGAGTTCCCACGGAGGTGGATGTTCCCGCGCGGCGACCTATACCACTGGATCCCACTGCTCAACCGCTTCGACAACATTCTAGAATCAATATGTGCCACATACGAGCTATCCAAGGGCCCCCAAACACGCGACTTTGGACGTGATGTCCTCCTCAATAACGGCGGACCCTCACTCGAATACCGCGACGAGCCTTGGACCGCGGAGCGTCTGGCCGAGGCCGGATACAAGGAGGATGGAGATTGCCAGCTTCTCGTCGCTATACTCAAGTTTACCCGCATGTTGCTCGAGCACTGCGGTAACCGAAGCATCTACGCGAGCAGCCACCACATCGACCGTCTTCTCAACAGCCCATATCTTGAAGTTCAAGCCGCCGCCCTCGAGGTTGGCTTGGAGCTGGCCCAGAGGTATAATGCGTCCGTCAAGCGCATGCCCTCGCCTCCTCGTTCAGTAAACCCAACCTTGTTAGCCAACCACTACAACATCGACCTCGAAAAGGTGCAACTGCTTGCACGGCCATTCGTCAGGACACCCATCGTCAAGTCCCTAGAAGCATCCTCGGCTGCCCCGGCCGTTTCCGCTGGCTCGACTGCCAAGGCCAAGGACAAGGAAAAGGAAAAGGTTACTGGCCCCAAGAATGTTGCGTCCATGTATGCCAATGACCTCAAAGCCCTTGCTTCCAGCCGACCTGATGAAGAAGACTTGTGGAAGAGTTGGGGTGACCTTAAGATGTCGTATTATCCCGACACAACCAATGGCGAGCCTAGCGTGTGTGATTCCAAGGACGCTCAACCTGTGGAGCCTCGCACCACCTCGTCACCTGCTGCCCCAACGCCGCTCCGTCGTAGCTCGACAATGAACGTGTCTCAATTGTCCCGTACTCAGCGTGTCGGAAGTTCGGAAGAAGGTTCGCCTCTCAAGCCGTCGGGAGCAGCTACGGATGACCGCGATGGGCCCAAGGTGGTGGAGATCCCACGGTCTGTCATCGAGTCGAAACGCATCTATGATCTATATGAGATGTGTCCGCCCGACATGCCAAGCACCATGAGATTCGAGTTTACTAGTCGTTTGAGAACATGCAAGGCGTTATTAGGAACCCACAGAGAGCGTCAGCTGGCCTTGGCCGTTCGCCTGCTGGCCATTACCAACCTTGCCTACATCCTACCCGAGGCCGTCTTTGTTGACAAAGTTCTCAAGTACGACAAGGACGAACCGAGGAAATTTCAGCTTGTCTACCAGCTGGCCGAGCTCATTGCCCCTTCCCCAGACGGAAACCCTAGCGAGGTCCCAAAATGGCTCCAGAGCATCACGCTGGCTCTGCTTGAGGCCATCTCTCACCAACAAGAAAAGCACTCGGATGTCCTGGCGGCTTTAAATGTAAATGTTAACCATGGCATTCTCCTCTACGTCATCAGAATAGCAGTGGCGGAAATGAAAGAGGACGCCCCTGTTGATGATCAAGAAGAGCTGGATGCAGACAATTGGCGAGGCAACCTGTTCGGGTTGACCCTTCAGATAGCCATGGCTACGCGTATCGGCCAGGAGATGATGACTGCTGGGCTCATGGACTGTCTCGTCGAAATTCTTAACCTTCGGACGGCAGTTGCCAGTCGCCATTATAGCATGGTACTCGCTTTTCTGGACAGTCTGACGTATGCGTATCAAACTGCTTTCTCACAGCTAAACGCTGCCGGGGGTCTGGATGCCATCACGAACCTCATAGTCCACAGCGTTGGGGAGTCCAAGACTCTCACGGAAGCTGGCCTTGGAACAAAACCCGAACTTCACGCTTCCCTTGTGGATTATAGCATTCCATTCTACCATCAGCAGACGCTCAAGTGGCTCCTAAAGTTTATTCACCATGTCATGGCCAATACCTACTCCTTTGATGGTACCAACACTGAGCGCTTATTGAGGAACCTGGTCGACAACTCGTCTTTGCTTGGTAGCCTCTGCACGATTGCGCGCCAGAACCGCTTCTTTGGCACGGTCGTGTGGTCAAATGCTACAACCCTCCTGAGCGATTTCATTAACAACGACCCTACGAGTTTTGCAGCCATCTCGGAGTCTGGGTGGATTCAAGCCTTCCTGGAATCTGTTACCAATCGGCCGGTGTCCATACCTGCTGAGCAACCATCGCTGGAACCTAGCCAATCCAGAGCACATGACGGCAGCGAAGGGAATGACGCCGATGACGACAGTGAAGATGATGGTAGTGCGCATGAGGCCGCTCCCGACTCGGACGGTCAGGCCGCTACTCAACCCCATCCACCAACTCAAGAAATGCTCGAGGCACCTCGAGATTTTCCTCCCGCCCACGGCATCCTACCGTCCTCTGAATCCATGAATATCATTCCCACGGTACTGAACTCAATTTCACTC